ACGAGGCCCGAGGTCATCTGTCGTGCCAGTTGCTGACACCAGAGCCACCACCTCAGCACCAGCCACAGCCTCAGTTCCACCAGCTCCAGCATCTACTTCAGCTCCAACTCCAGCGTCTACTTCAGCATCTACCGAAGCCTTCGTCCTTGGAGTGATCCGGACTCCACCACCACCAGAAGATCAAGCCTGAGCGTCGATCTAGTGCTATGCATTTTTCTAGGAACTTTTTGGTAACTTGTTGCCAAAGGGGAAGAAGATGTATAGATCATAGGCTTCGAGAGAGAGAGAGTGTTGCTTTTCTCTCTTGCTTTATTTGGTGGTTTTTCAACCTTGTTTGCTTTTGAGTGCGTGAGATACTATGCTTGTGAGACATTGATGATCATGTGTTTGATCATAAGCTACACTTAATGCTTGCTTAATGGTATTATCTTATCTATCTTATGTGATCACTCACTATTCTTGGTGATGAGTGCATGTATTTCATTCTTATCATTTTAAGCGCTCCACCAAGATGTATGTGACATGGAAGAGTAACCCATGACTCTAACTCCTTGTGCATTTGCAGTCCAAAGCAAATTTTAAATATGCACAAATTTAGGGGGAGCTCTTACTTATCACATACTTCTCAAAGCGACGATATATTTCATGCTTATTATCATTTGTCGAAGCTTTGATCTATATGTTGTCATCAATTACCAAAAAGGGGGAGATTGAAAGTGCAACTATCCCTAGGTGGTTTTGGTAATTCATAACAACATATAGCTCATTGAGCTAATGCTATTCCAAGATGATTATTTCAGGAAAGCTCAATGATTGGCATGGCATGGATGTGAGAGTGGAACCCTCAAAATGCTAAGGACAAAGGATTGGCTCAAGCTCAAAAGCTCAAGACTCTTCATTTTGTATTTTAGTGATCCAAGATCACATTGAGTCCATAGGAAAAGCCAATACTATCAAGGAGGGATGAGGTGTTGCTTAATGAGCCTCTTGCTTCATGTGCTTAGTGATATGCTCCAAAACCCTCAACTACTTTCCCATATCCACATATGACCTAAAACCTAAGCCAAACTCGATCCTACCGATTCTTCCTATCCGGCGCCACCGAGTTTCACTTGTCATTAGCCACTGCCAAACCCTAGCAATTCGGTTCTACCGATAAGGATCTCGGTCTCACCGAGATGGGATTGCAAACTCTCCGTTTCCCTTTCGTAACTTTTCGGTCTCACGAAAGAGCGAATTGGTCCCACCGAGATTGCAATGTAAACTCATTGTTTCCCCTTTGTAACTTTTCGGTCTCACCGAGTTCCACTCGGTCTCACCGAAAGAGCAAATCGGTCCCACCGAGTTTGCCTGACCAACTCTCTGGTTAGCTAATTACCAAATTCGGTCTCACCGAGTTTGTGTAATCGGTCTCACCGAGATTACGTTATGCCCAAACCCTAACCATATCGGTCCTACCGAGTTGCATGTCAGTCCCACCGAAAATCTCTAACGGTCACTAGGTTTACCTTTTCGGTCCGACCGAGTTTGTTGATTCGGTCCCACCGAGATTGGAAAACTGCGTGTAACGGTTGGATTTTGTGTGGAGGCTATATATACCCCTCCACCTCCTATTCATTCGAAGAGAGAGCCATTAGAACACACACACCATTCCAACTCATATGTTCTGAGAGAGAACCACCTACTCATGTGTTGAGACCAAGATATTCCATTACCACCATATGAATCTTGATCTCTAGCCTTCCCAAGTTGCTTTCCACTCAAATCGTCTTTTCACTAAATCCAAATCCTATGAGAGAGAGTTGAGTGTTGGGGAGACTATCATTTGAAGCACAAGAGCAAGGAGTTCATTACCTACACACCATTTGTTACTTCTTGGAGAGTGGTGTCTCCTAGATTGGCTAGGTGTCACTTGGGAGCCTCCGACAAGATTGTGGAGTTGAACCAAGGAGTTTGTAAGGGCAAGGAGATCGCCTACTTCGTGAAGATCTACCGCTAGTGAGGCAAGTCCTGTGTGGGCGATGGCCATGGTGGGATAGACAAGGTTGCTTCTTCGTGGACCCTTTGTGGGTGGTTGCTTCTTCGTGGACCCTTCGTGGGTGGAGACTTGTGTGGACTCATGCAACCGTTACCCTTGGGTGGAGCCCTGTGTGGACTCGCGCAACCGTTGCCCTTCATGGGTTGAAGTCTCCATCAACGTGGATGTAGGATAGCACCACCTATCCGAACCACGGGAAAAACATTCGTGTCTCCAATTGCGTTTGAATTCTCCAAACCCTTCCCTTTACATTCTTGCAAGTTGCATGCTTTACTTTCCGCTGCCTATATACTCTTTGCATGCTTGCTTGAATCATGTGATGATTGCTTGACTTGTCCTAAATTAGCTAAAATCTGCCAAGAACTAAAATTGGGAAAAGGTTAAGTTTTTATTTGGTCAAGTAGTCTAATCACCCCCCTCTAGACATACTTTCGATCCTACAATGTGTGAATACATAGACCACAATGTTTCCCTAGTGAGCCTCTAGTTGACTAGTTCGTTGATCAACAGATAGTCATGGTTTCCTGGCTATGGACATGGGGATGTCATTGATAACGGAATCACATCATTAGGAGAATGATGTGATGGACAAGACCCAAACCTAAGCATAGCACAAAGATCGTGTAGTTCGTTTGCTGTAGCTTTTCTAGATGTCAAGTATCATTTCCTTAGACCATGAGATTGTGCAACTCCCGGATACCGTAGGAGTGCCTTGGGTGTGCCAAACATCACAACGTAACTGGGTGGCTATAAAGGTACATTACAGGTATCTCCGAAAGTGTCTGTTGGGTTGGCACGAATCGAGACTGGGATTTGTCACTCTGTATGACGGAGAGGTACCTCTGGGCCCACTCGGTAATGCATCATCATAATGATCTCAATGTGATTAAGTGGTTGATCACAGGATCATGCATTATGGTACGAGTAATGTGACTTGCCGGTAACGAGACTGAACAAGGTATTGGGATACCGATGATCGAGTCTCGGGCAAGTAACGTACCGATTGACAAAGGGAATTGAGTACGGGATTGATTAGGTCCTCGACATCGTGGTTCATCCGATGAGATCATCGAGGAGCATGTGGGAGCCAACATGGGTATCTAGATCCCTCTGTTGGTTATTGACCAGAGAATCGTCTCGGTCATGTCTGCTTGTCTCTCGAACCCGTAGGGTCTACACACTTAAGGTTTGGTGACGCTAGGGTTGTATAGATATGAGTATGCAGTAATCCGAAAGTTGTTCGGAGTCCCGGATGAGATCCTGTACGTCACGAGGAGTTCCGGAATGGTCCGGAGGTGAAGAATTATATATAGGAAGTGTAGTTTCGGCCATCGAGAAAGTTCTGGGGTCACCGGTATTGTACCGGGACCACCGGATGGGTCCCGGGGGTCCACCTGGTGGGGCCACCCATCCCGGAGGGCCCCATGGGCTGAAGTGGGGAGGGGAACCAGCCCATAGTGGGCTGGTGCGCCCCCCTGGCCCCCCATGCGCCTAGGGTTGGGAACCCCAGGGGAGGGGGCGCCTCCACTTGCCTTGGGGGGTACTCCACCCCCTTGGCCGCCGCCCCCCCTAGGAGATCCCATCTCCTAGGCCGGCGCACCCCCCTAGGGGGCCTATATAAAGGGGGGGAGGGAGGGCAGCCGCACCTCAAGCCTTGGCGCCTCACTCTCCCCTGCTACACCTCTCCCTCTCGCAGAAGCTCGGCAAAGCCCTGCTGCGTTCACTGCTGCATCCACCACCACGCCGTCGTGTTGCTGGATCTTCATCAACCTCTCCTCCCCCCTTGCTGGATCAAGAAGGAGGAGACGTCATCCGCTCCGTACGTGTGTTGAACGCGGAGGTGTCGTCCGTTCGGCACTTGGTCATCGGTGATTTGGATCACGGCGAGTACGACTCCATCATCCCCGTTCTCTTGAACGCTTCCGCTCGCGATCTACAAGGGTATGTAGATGCACTCTCCTCTCATTGCTAGTTGACTCCATAGATTGATCTTGGTGAAACGTAGGAAATTTTTTTGTTTTCTGCAACGTTCCCCAACAGAATATACAACGTAGATTGCGCAAAACTAAAATTTTATAACACGATCTTTCCTTCTGATAAGCGGGGCAATCATCGTTATAAAAAGTTAGTGGCGGTGGCGATATCCGTCAGTAGAAATAATGCCTCTCACGTCCTATCCTTGTCCCGATGGTGCGAATAGCGTCGGAGAAGGATATGTGGAGGTGTGTCTTCGTCAGATCTCACGGGATTCGGTCAGTGCTGGTTTTGGGTGGATCTATTTGGATTTGGTTCATCTTCATTCGTGTAGTTACATGTTTGATCTTTTCGATCTATAACTCTTCATCAGCGATGGTTGTTGGTCTGGTGCGCTGGTCTTTTGGGGACGTAGTATGATGACTTTTAGACTGTCTAGTACAATAAGTTTTGCCCGGCTCTCTTGTAATTTTTATTTTCTCTACTATTCTCTATACTGACATGATTTGATGAATAATTTAAAATTTTCTCTCGCAAAAATATTCAATAAAAAGTTAGTGCCACGAGTAATAAACCGAGGTTTTTTCACCCCTCATTGTGTAGTTCAGCTCTTCGGCGTTTCTTTTATCGTCCTACGTGGAGTACCATCTTGTGGTTCTTTGCCACACACAAAAAGAACTTCTCACATGATAGAATTCTGATAGGAAGTGTTTCCCAAGCTAAAATGCCGTTTGAACAACATGCTAGAACAGAGTAGCTTGTAAGAGTTATACTGAAACTGAATTTGTAGCCCGGCTGAAAAGGGAAATACACATCCACCAGAGGAGAATATAAATAACGTAACAAATGAAGGAATTATATATTCATAATAATCTCGTAACAAGATTACATCGCAATGTCGTGTGTAATATTTCCTCCGCCTATAACCAAAAAAATCTCAGAAACAATGAAACTGTATAGACAGCAGCGAGAAGAGTCGTCGCTGCATCTAGAACACGATGGCGGCGGCCACCGCTCCGGCGACCGCGACGAAGCTGGCGGCGGATGAGTACACGGCGGAGCTCGCGGGGGTGCCGGTGGGGGCGCCGACGGGGGCTCCAGCGGGTGTGGCAGAGACCGCGGACGGCGTCATCGCGGAGGGAGCGTCGGTGGTCGGGGCAGGGGGAGATGCCATCGGGGACGGCGACGCGGCGGTGGGCGGGGTGGCGACCGGCGCAGGGGCGATGGCTGGGGACCTCGCCGGTGGCGCTGGAAGAGGGGCCGTCCTGGGCGCCAGCATGGGGCCCTGCGCGGCGGCGGCGACGGCGAGGAGGGCGAGGAGGGCGGCGACCACGGCGAAGCGAGCCATCTGGTTGTTGTCGACGGTGAAAGACTTGCCGGAGAAGATTCGGAGAGGAGACGGTGGGCGGTGGCGAGCGAATGCTTAGCAGAGGAGACGACGGTGGTGAGCTGCGAGTTGTGATTTGGGATGGAGGGAGGAGGCGCGGTTTTATAGCGGGAACGAGAAGGAGATTTTTCTAAACGTCGGTTGAGGTGGGCAACAGCTGTAACGTTCGGGTCTCGGGCTGCCGCGGGCCCGTGTATCACTGTCGCCAACGGCATCGACGCGTGAGAGAGACCAGTCTGTCAGGGAGACAGGTGGGGTGTCTTCGCGGGGCGGCGCCGCAAAGGGTTTTGATTCCTTCTCGCAGCGGCGCCGCGTCCTGGGATTACGGGGGTGATCACTAATCACGAGGTCGTCTAACGACTAGTTTGGAGGAACGTGGTGGATCCTGAACGCGTCAAGATTTCATCCAAGTGTAGAATTAATTTTGACTTGGTAAGAGTAAGCCGACTAGCAAACCAAGGGGAAAAGCACGCAATGCAAGACTCGTTAGCGCTAAGATTTCGTCCAAGTTCCAAGTACTCTTTTACTCCGCATATAAAATTTGGTCAAAGTCAAACTACACAAAATTTGACCAAATTTATGTAAAAAATATGAACATCTACAATATTAAAACCATATAGTATGAAAATACGTTTCATGGTGCATCTGATAATATTGATTTCATATTGTGATTGTTTTCTTGTCTTAATACAAAGTTAGTCAAACTCTACAAAGCTTGACTTTGACCAAACCTTATATGCGGACTAAAAAAACAGAGGGAGTAGTACTTTTTTTCCACGGAGACTTCGGGTTAGCTGCTGCATTGCGTGTGTTTTAATAGTGGCAAGTCACAAGTGCAGAATTCTGACTTGATAAGGCTGGTCATAGTGGGGAGTAATTTATACTAGTGTCATGCATATGACACTAGTTTAAGTTAAAGTAACATAGTGTAAAGTAACATAGAGTAGATTGCTTGATTTATTAGCTCATAAACTCATTTTGCATCGGGAAGCGTTGTGTTACGGTAATATATTATGTTACCACAAGCACGTCTTTCCTTATTAAATACTTATCACATAAGCGAAATTGTCTTGGGAAGTGTTAAGACTAGCCACAGTAGGGAGTAACTTAGAGTAGTAACATGCATATGTTACTAGTCTATGTTACTACCTCCACAATGGGGCGTAACATATGCGTGGTGTCATGCAACACTTCATTTATTAAGTTAAAGACTTATCTTGTCTTGGTATGCGTGATGTTACTCATACTACTAGTAACTAGCTATGTTACCACATCACTCTCTTTCTTCATTAATTACTTGCCACATCATCTATTTTGTCTAAATATCTGTTATGTTACCACCTATGTTATTCCCATTGTAGGTACTCCCTCCGTCTAGGTGTATAAGTCACATTAGAAGGTGCATCACGACCTAGGTACAAGCTAATTGGAGGAGAAGAAAATTTTGGACCGGTCCTTCTTCCAATCAAAACGTTGATTTCCTTCTTCTAAACATAGCATTTAATCGCAATACTTAAGAGGATGACGTATTAACTACCATGCATGCCCACGTACTTCTAGCATGCAAAGCCGCATTGATTTCTCGCCTAATCAACGCATAGACATGTTGCATGCATTGGTCATTGCCTGAGAAAAAAAGGGAGGAGGGGTTTTCACTGGAAGATAACGAGGTATAGGAGGCAAAGCTGGCTGGCCAACAAGGCTGGGAGGGAATCGAGATGAGAAATTAATGAACAATGCCTAAACGTTTTGGAAAAATTTTAATTTTCGTAAGGTGACTTACACACCTAGATGGAGGGAGTAGTCTAAGTTACTACCTAAATTACCCCACTATGACTAAGCCAACCAACAAATCAAGGGGTGAGCAGACAATGCAAGACTCGTTAGCGCAAAACCTAAATAGGTTAGCCATTTATGTTAACCGATTATAGTTGCTCAGTGCTTCCAAGATGGGAAAACCTCATGGACTATCAAACTTTATTTCTAAAAGGCGCACCTTTCTTCTCAATCCACCTCTCATTTCTGGCACTGGGTTCATTTGGTGATGATTATTGGCCTTGCTTGTGCACTTTGTTTTGCATTTCAGTTCTGGTTTCCCTTTTCCAGTTCCAGCATTTGAACCTTACAAGTACCGTCTGTTATTATCGAGGACACTTAGCGAGGTATCATATATGTATGTATCCTATATTATCCGACTTCTCTGTGAGTGATGATCAACATCTTACGCAACGCCGTCAGAATGGTATCTATGGGCAATGAGTAAAAATTGCGAGAAAGCTTGTCCATCCTGATAATTATGACACTCTGCAAGAAGGCAATCAATCTGGACAATGAGAACTAGCCGCGATAAGTCAATATGGTAGTGTCAAAATGTTTTTATATTATGGGACGGAGGGAGTAGATGGTGAGACAATTAACCTGAATCACAAGCATGGACATGTGGAATATGGATATTGTTTGAGTTGTTTTCTTCTAGTAGAGTGTGCCGACCTAACGAGCCCGTGGCATCAATCGACATTTGCCACCAGTTATTTTTCCCTCGAAAATGGCATGAACACTACCCTTACGTAATAAGAAACAGTGAGCATGTTTACATGGTACGTCATTTTCATGTAAGGAGCAAAGTTCTAAAAACACCGCTTCACCAACAGGCAATCAAAGCACATTCTAGGTACTCCCATTTTGCGTTATAGTTACACTCTTCCTTTTCTTTTTGCGTTATCGTTACACTCAAATGATCAATTGTAAGTTTGCAATGCAAAAGGTGTTTTGACTTTCCACTGACATTAGTGATCAGCTTCATACTACATACACCATAACCGAAATGAAAACCCCATAATTTAGCGAGTGGTTGGATCCGATGACACGACGCTCGTGTATGTTACCAACGATTGCGGTTGAGGTTGAAGTTTTGTTGCCCGGAGTTGCTAACAATGTTGGTCAATGTGGACATTTTGCTATTGAATGATGTTAATTGCTTTGATATGATTTTAGGGGTCATGTCACCTTTTAGTAGGTTGGTTGTGCTCAATGTCTTTTTCTTTTTTTGCGGGAAGTTGTGCTCAATGTCTAATGTACTATCTCTTCTTCGAATTGTATTAATCTGGAGGTAGGGTGTATTTGGTACGTTTTGATATTAATACACTGGTTTGCTATACAAGAGTATTTTTTTATAAAGAAAAAAAAACATCTAATTTTAGAACGAGTCTCCTGGGAACGGAGAGCTAACACGTAAGAAAAATGGTCAGAATACGTCCCTAAAATGGCGCATCTGATCAGATGGAAGCAATTTGTTGGACCGAAGTAGCAGCCTAGCAGGGGAGAATTAATACTGGACCAAGTTCATGTCTGGTAAGGTAACGAATAAACGAATTTGTATTCATAATAATCTCATGCATCCGTAACAAGATTACATCGCATGGTGGTATGTATCCCTCTCCTCAGTCGGTCCAGCAAAGAATCATGGAAAGAATCTCTCCAGTATAAACAACGCGAAAACAGAGCACGGAGAGCAGAGCCTCGCTCCGTCTAGAACACGATGGCGGCGGCGACCGCGCCGGCGACGGCGACGAAGCTGACGGAGGACGTGTAGACGGCGGAGCTGGCGGGGGTGCCGCTGGGGGCAGCGGCAGGTGCGCCCTCGGGTGTGCCGGAGACCGCGGACGGGGGCATCGCGGAGGGAGCGTCGGTCGGGGCGTCGGTGGGCGGGGCCGGGGGAGAGGCCAGCGGGGACGGCGACGCGGCGGTGGGCGGCGTGGCGACCGGCGCAGGCGCGGTGGCCGGGGACCTCGCCGGCGGTGCGGGGAGAGGCGCCATCCTGGGCGCCGCTCCGGGGGCCTGCGCGGCGGCGGTGACGGCCAGGAGGGCCACGATGGCGGCGACGACGGCGAAGCGGGCCATGAGGTTGGCGCAGGCGGTGATCGGCGGAAGACCTTGGCTAAGATCTGCAGAGCAGGAGGGGGTGGCGAGTAGAAGCTGTGTGAGGGAGCTGCGAGCTTGTGTGTGCCGGTGGCGAGGGGATTGGTAGGTACTTATAGCAGGAGGGACGCGTATTCTGCCCGTTAACCACGGCTGTGTCGGGCTGTAACGTTCGAGTCTCGCGAGATCCCGCGCGGCATCGGCGCGGTCGCTGTCGATGGCCTGTAAGCAACGACGCGTGAGACCAGACTGTCGCCGTGCTGCCATTTTCATGCCCGCCACCCCTCTTCGCGGAGGGGCGCCGCGCCAGCCAAGTCGACCCTTGGCACCGTGTCGCGGCCAGACAGGGTCCAACGGCTAACTCGACGTGCTCACGACCTCAGCTAGAAAAGAAGTCGTCGCGATCTTCGGCACCAGGTATTTGATCAGGGAAAATGAGGCAGATTAGGTGCTTTATGATTTGTGAATGTCACGTGTCATCCATCAGGGTGGGTCTCACCTGCTAACCCGTGAGACCTGGTCTCATATAATTCTTTTTTGTTTGTAGGATAGTCGTGTGGCTAGCTTTCTGTGAGCTTTCCAATTTCTTTGCTGGAATGGTGGTGGTGTTGGAAGTTTATTATTACTAGCCGGTTATTGCTGCCTCTAATGAAAAAAAAAAGTAATGGGAACAAAAAAGACAATGTTGTTGTGCATGTTGGTTCTTCGGCTCCGGTTCCGACCAACGAAAGTGGGCTAGTTTCCGACTTGTTGGGGAATGTATGAGATTTCTGTGTTCCTCAATTCCGTGTGGCTAGAAATGGGGCGTTCTATGGGTCCTCATCAATGTTTTTTTCTCTGGAGCGGTGATTTGTTGCGTAGATCGTGGCCGCCGGCGTATTCTTGTCTACATCGAGGACTTTTTGCACATTGCTTCTATAAGCTCTTGGATATAAACAAGTTTGTTCTGCTGAAATGGAGGTACAAAGACAACAGTAAGCTTTGCTCACAGAGTGTGTCGGAGGATGCCGGAGGAAAAAGATTGCGATGTAATTTTTTAAATTTCTGCAAGAATGTTTATGTAAGGATTTGTCCAACTTAATATATAACATTTTTTGTAAAAAGACTACACAATAGGAACATGAAAGAAAGATGTGAATTGTTTGCAATATTTAGAAAGGACATAAAAAGACAAAACACTAAACATTCCAAGAAAAATATATGGTGAAAAAACAAAGAAGAGAAAAATAAAGGAAGAAACAAAGGAGTGTCATATATTTATAGTGATTTCTTCATTTGGATGTCTGTATTGGAGGGCCCCGTATTGAATTGGCCGGAATACAAATTCAACAAGAAAACTGAATGGAAATAATACAAATTCCTTGTTTGATTGTTCACTGAGTTGGATCGTGGAATCCAAGTGAGTTTTCAATACCGAATATTGTTTGGATGACAAACTATGAAATTGCATGGTTACATGGATTATGATTGACTCAATGTGCCTCGGGTGTTTTGATTTGTACTGTTTGATTTCGTTCAGGTGTGGAAGAAGCCCGCAACTAGTATTGGAACCCATGTGTTCGCGCACCCATGCTAAGGATCTAGTCGCCCAGCCGGGCTACTGCCCATGCGCCTACCATCATCGACACGTTAGGCCGTGCGCACGTCACCGCCGTGAAGTTGCTGAACCATCCCCTCGTTGCCGACGCGCTTCAGCCCACACGACACCTGACAATCACCATCGGCGTTAACGGCGCTCGAAGCACATGAACAGTCCTCCTCCCTCTTGTGGCCGCCGCCTCTTATTCACCTGTCGCTAACTTCTCTTTTCTTGACTGAAGCTGAATGTTTTGCATGAGTTGAGGATTGAGGGTGATTTCAGAGGAATACAAGAGAGGGGGTGGGGGGGTCTGATTTGGTTCGTGAATGTGCTAGTGTTGCATACAAATTCCGAATTGGGGGCTTCAATACATATACCCAAACGGGGTGTTAAAGCAACTCTAGCTGATACTATAAAATCATGTACCGTGATAGGGGTTTAAGGTATACCCTAAAACATTTTTACAGTATAAAGCGGGTTCCGGTAGAATGGGTACTGTAAAAACCATTCTAGGTTGGATGAGGAGCCCACACAGTCATCGGTTGAATTTACAATAGGGTCCTGAAAAATAACACAAATCATCCTAAAGGCAGAAAATAGATTACAATTGGGCCCCAGAGGGAAGGAGAGCCGAACGACCTAGCCGCTCACGCCGTAACCTGCGGTACACCGGCACGTCGCCGCTGACGCCATCCACCGACTGGATGGGCTAGATGTTAAGCTCGAGAGGCGCTAGAGGAGTACATGTGTCGCCGCCAATGTAGGAGGTCGACTACCGACCACACCGGCGTGATATCGCCCTTCGCGAGAGAAGTAGCAGATGTCAGGCCTTCACGGGCGAAACGGAGGCG